ACACAACCGCGCGGTCGATCGGTCGTGGTGAGTAATCTTTCAAGGAGCTGTATGGAAAAGTCTTTTAACAGTCGCGGGAAAGTTCAAGTCTTTCAAGGAGCTGTACGAGTAAAGTCTTTTAGGAACCGTCTGGGGAACATCTAACACGCAATTCAGGCGGGGAATTCGAGTAGTCTACACATCAAGGGCGGGGAAGTCACCACTTTCATTACGTTTCCGAAGGAAGGGGGAAATGTGAGGAGTCTTAAACTCCCCACAAATCCTGATGCAGGAGATCGGCCTAGTAACAGTGGAGGAGGCGAGAAAGCCGGAGAAATGAAGGGCATCCAGGTCAAACGGGATATACAATGAATTGGGGGACTTCGGACCCGGATAAAGAGGACACACCGAGAATGAACGGTACTTCAGTGGACCTTGGACGCGCAGCTCGGGACAGTACGTGAACGCGGAATAAGTAAAAATCGAAACCGAAGTGCCCAAGGATCAAGATCGCAAAGTCGAGACGCCGAACGACGACAAGTCTACAAGGCTGAGGCTGCAACGCTGAGATCCAATGGTGCTAGGTCGTGGTAAGATCAAACTTAGGGAGCCCTTGCGCGGTGTCTGGCGATAAAGGTGGCTAGGCGATAAGGGAGAACTTTGGTTCTACCTGCTAGGCGATACACCTTGCCGACAAAGTCCAGACTGAACTCCGTAAGACAGGCGAGAAAGGTGGCTAGGCGATAATGCGAAACTTCGTTTAACCGGCGATACACCTTGCCGGCTCCGGTAGGGAAGCTCGCATAACATCCAGGGTTTTTGGTGGAGCCGTCCCGATCTCAGTCACCCGGAGAAGCAAGCCGAAGCAACGTAGTAGCAGGCCAGGAGCGACACAGCAGTAAGCCAGGAGCGACGCAGCGGCACACCGACAACGGGCAGCAAAACAATAGCAATAAGGCTATATTTGGAGAATCAATAAACCAGCACCAACCTAATCCTTTATGGCGTTATCCTTTGGTCACGGGCAGTCACTCAATATAAATTTGGTGGAACGAACTCACAACCTCTCTGAGCTAGCCGCACGTTTACGTAGCGAGCAGAAAATAAAGAAACAGGTCGTTATAAACTTATCCGCTGTATACTGCCCTCCACGCTTTTCCATTTCCGAAGATGAATTTGTACAGTTCTTTGACCTATTAGGTGACCGTTTTTTAGCGGCTGGTGATTACAATGCAAAACACACCCACTGGGGCTCTCGACTCACCAACCCCTCCAACACCAAGAAACAAGCTTGGTCTTATCTCTCCTGGTAAGCCTACATATTGGCCAACAGATTTTGCCGTCACAAGAAGAGTGGCTAGAGATCATGCCCACGTGGAACACTTAACAGATCTGTCATCGGATCACTCGCCAATTTTACTTCATCCCTTCGATCATCCACAGCTTTCAGAACGTTCTAATGTTCTAACCTCCCTTAAAACAGATTGGCTTATATACAGAAAGTACGTAAGCACCCATATTGATGGCTTTTCAAAAATGTACCAAAAAGAATTGACAGCTCCGTTGAAGAACAAGTGTCTGTTATGTCACTAGCTGCAGAACACTCCACCCCTATTATACCGGCTTGTAATCCTGATAACAACTGTTGGGCTTCTGGGCATATTAACGATCTGCTACGTAATAAGCAAAGGCTTCGGAGGGAGTGGGAAGCCCATAGATCGCCTGCCTTGAAGGAGCGGCTTAAAACAGCAAACTATCTTCAACGCACAGCCTTAGAGGATGAATCTAATCGATCTCAGTTATCCTATTTGCAGCATCTCTCCCCAAACAGCAAACGATATCCACTGTGGAAAGCTAAATGAGGTATATTTCAACCAATCGAATGTGAGTCGCCATTACACACACAAACAGGAAAATGGGCTCGCAGCAATGATCTCTTCATGTAATTTATTCGTAATGTATTTGCCGCACATCTAGAAAACGTTTTCAAACCACTCCCACCATCAAATAGCTTTGTGCTCCCAACAAACATTTTTCCAGAGGCTACCCTGCCTATCATATTCCAATCAACAATGGAAAAAGTCTGTCATCACTATGATCCACAAAGCCGGAAAGGACAAGTCCCAGCCTTCATCATATAGGCCAACCAGTCTCCTACCGTGCCTATCAAAGATATCTGAAAAGCTGCTCCTGAATCGTAATAAGCAACACCTACTGTCCCATAATGCTATTCCAATTCGCGAGAAACACGGAACCATTGAACAAGTAAACCGAAATTCATTTGAAAATCGAGAGCATTGTTCCGCAGTCTTTCTAGATGTCGCCCAGGCCTTCGAACGCGTTTGGCTGCACGACTTAATTTATAAAATTAAAACCTTGCTTCCACAGAACACCCATAAAATACTGGAGTCATATCTTGAGCATATAAGTTTGGGAGTGCGATGTAAAGATTTCCTCTCCGAATACCATCCAATAGAAGCTGGAGTACCTCAAGGTAGCGTGCTTGGACCAACACTGTGTATAATTTACACACAGACCTTCCGACAACCAGTCTTACAACAACCTCGACATTTGCTGATGATACGGTCATTCTAAGTCAATCTAAGTGCCCAATTAGAGCAACGCAACAGTTATCAGCTCATATCAGGCTTCTAGAGAAATGGCTAGCAGATTGGCGCATAAAGGTTAACAAGCAAAAGAGTAAACACGTCACCTTTACCCTAAACAGACAAACTTGCTATCCACTATCTATGAACAACATTCATATTCCACAAACAACTGAAGTAACATATCTTGGAGTCCACCTTGATAGACGGCTTACTTGGCGAAAGCACATCGATGCTAAAAGAACACAACTTAAATTATAGGCAAGAAGCCTACATTGGTTAATAAATGCCAGTTCTCCGCTAAAATTGGAGTACAAGGTACTTCTGTACAATGCAGTTCTCAAGCCAAATTGGAAATATGGCTCCGCGCTATGAGGAAACGCATGCGTTAGCAACCTAGAAGTTATACAGTGAGCTCAATCAAAGATACTGAGAACTATAACTGGTGCAACGTGGTACATACGGAATCAAAACATTCACAGAGATTTAAATGTGGGATCTGTTAAAGACGAAATCGACAATGTAAAAGAAAAGTATATGATCAAGCTACAGGCTCATCCAAATAGGCTTGCGCAGTCTTTAACCTGGAACACTAGCCATTCACGACTCAGGCGAAGAGCAACAATAGCAACAACCACCCAGCAACAATAGCTAGGGCCGTTCTCCTAAAAACCTTGATTTGAACTACTTAAATTTATGTATTAGGCTAAGATTTGAATACTTGTCGTTAGTCTCGAAGAGAGAACATTCGATAAATAAAAAAACCGTAATTACAAAAAAAAAAATCAGTTTCAGTGCAAACAAGCATTGATTCAACCATCGCAATCATCAGAGACTGTCGCCGTGTCTTCGTTTCTCAACCCGCAAACAATCTCAGCAGTAAAACTGGTTACAAGAACTAGTTGCAGATAGTTTATGACCTCCTAATGGTAATTTCGGATAAACATTTTTCGTGATCTGTAAGGAGTTCAATTACTCTGACAAATGTCCGCGTATCATGTGCAAAAGTGAAATAATAAACTGTGCATTTCTGTCGTGTGCAGAAAGCAAAGGTTGAACTGCAAATCAATAATATACTGAGTCATAAATAAACATGCCGAGTGCTGAAAGCTGGATCATTCATCTCTACGTCATGTTGCTCTTGTGCATCCGTCCGGGACAGAGCAAAATACAGGAAGCGGCGACTGCAAACGACGTGGTTTACTATAATCTGGGAACGGTAACGAACGCATACCTAAAAACTGAACGTCCGCGAAGCCAACGAAAGGGAACCTACCCCGGGCATCCAGAACGAGTCAATCGATAGCAGCGAATCCCGGTACGACTACGGTGGAAGGAGCAGTAGAACATCCAGTCACAGAGAAGAACTCGGGAATACATTGACCCTATAAACCCTAGGTTAATATCCTAAAATATTGTAACAGCTTGCTAAATCGGGCGCAATGCTTCCTCTCCAAGCTAATTATCAAAGTAAGGAGGAGAAGCAGTTGTTCGCGGCAGTGGAAATTGGATGAGTCGCCTGCAAGGCACAAAATTGGGAGTCACATCAAGTATTATCAGCGATGAGGTGGCGGACAACAGGCTGGCGAAGAAACAATCGCACAGAGAGACGGCAAGTTAGATTGGAAGATGGCAGAAACAGCAAGAGAAGTTCAGATCTCGAGGCCTTAATCAAATTTGGCAACAAGCGCATGGCCGTGAGCCTGCTGATACTGAGTAGTTGACCAATTCGCCTTGAAGGAAGTCAAGATAATTAAGCATAGATAGGCTGTTACGTGTCAGCCACAAAACTTTGAATACTTAAATAAAACACTTCTGTTTGCGATCGGCGACTATATTTATTTATTATAAAAATTATTCTCAACAGACTGCGCTTATTAAATTATATTTCTGCTCACATCAACAATTAGACAACGTATTTATAAGATGAGCTGAAATTGGAATACGGGGTAACTCAAGTGTAACACATTCAAATTAAGACGATTAAATTCAAAATTGTATTTTCACCAGCAATATTCCCCTCACCGTAAAACGCTTAAGTCGTTTTACCTAAAACGTCAAGAACCGCTAGCTTAGAGATGGGGCATTTAAGTGCACCAGTTGATGTCTGCACTTTCGCAATTCGGATTTGACCATCTTTATCATTAAACGTTTGGGCAACAAGGCCCTTCTTCCAGCCTCCTCTGGATTGATTTTCGTCACAGATCAAGACTAGATCCCCGATTTAAATTGGCTTGGTATGTGCAAACCATTTGGTGCGCTTCCTTAAAGTAGGAAGGTACTCTCTTATCCAACGTCTCCAAAATACATCCTTTAGCTGCTGAGCAATACGGTATTGTTTTCGATGGCAGTAGTTATCAATTTCTCCAGGAATTTGTGTAGAGTTTACGGTTCCTAGTCGAAACTGATTTGGGGTGACTGGTTCAGGATCGTCTATAGTAACAGGTACATGTGTCACAGAGATTTAAATGTGGGATCTGTTAAAGACGAAATCGACAATGTAAAAGAAAAGTATATGATCAAGCTACAGGCTCATCCAAATAGGCTTGCGCAGTCTTTAACCTGGAACACTTGCCATTCAAGACACAGGCGAAGAGATCTCCCCACCCAGCAACAATAGCTAGGCCCGTTCTCCAAAAAAACTTAATTTTAACTAATTAAATTTATGTATTAGGCTAAGATTTGAATACTTGTCGTTAGTCTCGAAGAGAGAAGATTCGATAAATAACAAGAAAGGAAAGCTAACTTCGGGCGGAGCCGAAGTTGATATACCCTTGCAGAATATTCTGTAAATTATATTCTCCAAATTTAATTATATGATGCATTCTTAACACTTATAAAAAATCCCAACTTCCTAACTTTAAAAACACCAAAGTTATGGCATTTCCACTCGTTCAGTTATATGGCAGCTATAGGATATAGTCGGCCGATCTCGGCCGTTCCGACTTATATACTGCGTGCAAAGGAAAGAAGGGTGTGTGCAAAGTTTCAATTCGATAGCTTTAAAACTGAGAGACTAGTTTGCGTAGAAACAGACAGACGGACAGACGGACGGACGGTCGGCGGGACAGACGGCCAGTCGGACATGCTTAAATCAACTCAGGAGGCGATCCTGATCAAGAATATGTATACTTTATAGGGTCGGAGATGTCTCCTTCACTGCGTTGCACACTTTTGACCAAAATTATAATACCCTCTGCAATACCCTCTGATTGGCAAAAAATAAAACCCATAGAAAATCCCAACTTCCTAACTTTAAAACCACCAAAGTTATGACATTTCCGATCGTTCAGTTATATGGCAGCTATAGGATATAGTCGTCCGATCCGGGCCGTTGCGACTTATATACTGCGTGCAAGGGAAAGAAGAATGTGAGCAAAGTTTCAATTTGATATCTTTAAAACAGACAGACTCAGGAGGGGATCCTGATCCTGACGCTGGGCGCGCAAAAAACAATATGTAAATAAAAAGACTAAAAAAGTTAAATGAAAAGAGCGTTAAATTCAAATTCAAACTAAGAACGATCGCGCGCGTAGGGGCACACTAGAGCGATAGAGGTGGCCACACTTATACCGGCAAATCCCACACAGGCGGCGGGCACACTAGATCTCGCTGAGCCCCCTATAAGGCGGATCACGGGCATAGAACTTCACTGAGCAGCAGACCGTCTTCGGGTACAGAGGCAACTCCCCAGTGATGGTGAGCAGCAAAGTCACTTTTGGTGGACTAAATCATTCGATCCAAGTCCGCTTATACATTGTAGTTAGCTCCCGTAGTACTTCCTACTCCCCCTAACCTTCTCGGCTTGCCGGTCCGAAGGTATCACTAGGAGACGTCTGATTTCAGGATCGCACCTCCTTACGGCACGGTTCACCGGCCGAATGCTCTCTCTCTCTCGGTCCCCAAGCAACTCTCTCTCTATCTTGTGGCTGACTTCAGGGTCCCCAAGCAACATTCTCTCTCTCTTGCGCCAGACCTCAGGGTCCCCAAGCAACATTCTCTCTCTTGCGGTTCCAAGTTAATAAAATAGAATAGAATCGGAAATGGTGCCAGTTGTTAGGAGAGTACTTTAGAGAGTACACGTTACTCGTAGAGTAAAAGAGTATTGTGTATTCCTTGAATAGTAAGTAACAGGAAGACGAAAGCGTTTTCGACCCAATAAAGTACATATATTCCTGATCAGTTATAAGAGCTAGTTTTTTAACACTTAGCCATGTCCCTCCGCATGTCTGTCCAACTAGTTTCTCAGTTTTATAGCTATTTGGATGAAAGTTTCCAAAAAATCTTCTTTTTGGCTTATATATGGCTTATATACTAAGTAGGAGAGGACGACTGTAGCATATAGGGTCCTATTGGAGCTATATATATATATATATATATATATATATATATATATCTAACAAATAAATGAAGACTATAACTTCGTTATTTTAAACATATACGGATATACATCTAGATACACAATTTCAGAACTATGGTTTACATTTTGTAAAAACAGGACGACTAAAATAAGATCAAAAACAAGAGAGAACGCTATAGTCGAGTGCCTCGACTATTAGATACCCGTTACTCAGCTAAACAACTTAATATAAATATGCCTTCTTGTGTTTTTTTTGTTTTTTTTTTTTTAAATAATGTGAATTATAGTGACCACAGGAAAAAAGGACAAAAAGTTCAAATTATCAATTTGAATTCGGCGATCTCTTAGTGCTGGCAGCTTTACAGCACGAGCATCTGCACCAGCGCTGCTTTAGCGCGCAGCTTTTGTCCTGCACCAGCAGCTGTGTTTATGTTTATGTTTTTGAGTGCAATAAATTGACTAGATATATTAAACATACATACTTATATTGGCTAAACACATACATTCTTAAATAGTATTATGTATATTAAAGTCTAAATGTTTGCACAACACGAGTAACGGGTATAGCGAATAGCTTTCTTTGAAAGGAGTTATCTTTGCCCGGAAATTGCAACTGCGTACAATGTAAATACATACATATGTATATGCTTACATACATACATTGCTTGACTCAGACCTCCAATTTGGCTAACTTGATTTGATTTGCATAGCTCTTGGGATATAGTTCGGTATTGACAAATGAAAACCATCGCAATTTCCTTTAATAGAAATCCTTATAGAGTTTTAACGTTGACTCTGTTGAGCACCTTGGCCAGTTGTTCCAAATTCATCCGTTAGATGGCGCCATGAAAGGCGGAAATGTAGGCGCTAGCCAGGCTTAAGCGTTTAATAGGTTTTTGGGCGTTAGAGTGGGCGTGGAAAACTTTTATTAGGCAATTCAATAGGTACTGACGAAACAAATACATATCAATTAAAATTTTCATAATAGCATCAAAACTGTGGCCACAGCTTGTGGCTTGTGGGCGTCAAAAAGGGCGTGGCACCATTTTGAAACAAACTTACGCTGCGTAGGAACATCTAAAATCTACATGCAAAATGCCAATCTTCTAGCTTTTATAGACAGACGGACAGACGGACATGGCTAGATCGACTCGGCTAGTGTCCTGTTACATACTTTTGCACGAATACAATATACCCTTTCACTCTACGAGTAACGGGTATAAAAAGCAAAAGGAAATTTCTTTGAAAGATTCAAATCTAATATAAATCCTCTATTATCCATTAAGAAGACTTAGTTTGACCTGCTTGAACGAGTCAATGAACTATGTCTGACTACAAGTAAAGTATTTGTATTACCGGGTGGGTTTATGAACCGATTCATAACCTGTGGCAGAGAATGAAAAAACACGTATGTTAGAGGTTTCTTAATAAATGCAGCTTTTTAATATGCCGATCTACACTCACAAGCTCCTCGAGTCGTGTTCATAATAGAGTACTTTCAGTAAGATGCAGAACAGCAACATCAGATAAATACATGATTAAAGCTGGCGTTCCTCGAGAAAGCGCACTTGGGCCTATCTTATTTGTCTTATTTACTTCGGATATCCTAATGTAAACATTTGCCGACGATGCTGCGATCCTGAGTCGTTCAAGATGCCTAATCCGAGCAAGAAGCCAACTCGCTGATCATCTTTCTGCAGTGGAAAGGTGGCTATCTGACTGGAGTATTAAACTAAACAAGCTAAGGTGTAAACACGTAACGTTTACTCTTAATAGACAAATATGTCCTCCGCTTCCCTTAAACGGTGCGCAGATACCCCAGGCCATCAAAGAAAGGTACCTCGGCGTCCACCTCGACAGGCGATTAACCTGGATTATAATCGCTCGATCACCTCTATCCCTGGACTACAAGATCCTGCTCTACAATTGAACTTTTAAACCATTTAAAGCATATACCTCCCGGCTGTGGGGGAGCGCGAGCAGCAGGAACATAGACATAGACATACATCGCACTCAATAAAAAATCTTGAGAACTATCTCTGGGGCACCTTGGCAATAAAAAACGAAATTGAGAAACAAAATGTGTCTTACACCCCAATTCTCTCTCTCAGGGGTTGACTCGGGTTTCCAGAAGAGCCTGAGACGCAACCTACCAATAGTGTTCAGGGCCGCCTAACTCTGTACCAGTCAATACGACTGTTAGTTAAGTTAATATGTTAAGATTTGATACACTTATGTTATTGTTAGTTTCGTAAGGAGAAGAATCAATAAATAAAAGCAAGATTAAAAAAAACAAGAAAGGAAAGCACACTTCGGGTGGAGCCGAAGTTGATATACCCCTGCAGAATATTCTGTAAATTATATTCTCCAAAATTATTCATATGATGCATTCTTAATACTCATAAAAAATCCCAACTTCCTAACTTTAAAAACACAATAGTTATGGCATTTCCAATCGTTCAGTTATATGGCAGCTATAGCATAAGGACGGCCGATCCTTATGAAATTTGGTAGGTTCGATTGATTGGCCAAAAATAAAACCTATAGAAATTCCAAACGTCCTAACTTTACAAACACCAAAGTTATGGCATTTCCGAATAATCAGTTATATGGCGGCTATAGGATATAGTCGGCCGATCCCGGCCGTTCTGACTGATATACTGCGTGCAATGGAAAGGATGTGTGCAAAGATTCAATTCGATATCTTTAAAACTGAGAGTCAAGTTCGCGTAGAAACAGACAGACGGACACACAGACGGACAGACAGACGGACATGCATATATCAACTCAGGACGCGATCGTGATCAAGAATATATATACTTTAAAGGGTCGGAGATGTCTCCTTCACCGCGTTGCACACTTTGACCAAAATTATAATACCCTCTGAAACGGTATAATAATAAATAAAAATATAATTCGTAGCGGGTCAATGGTGCTGCTCAATCTCAGCTTGTGGTGATTGTACTGAAGTTCGGCAGATGTGATTTTGAAGTTTGCTAGCTTAGTATCGAGTATCTTAAATCATGGCACTCAACTATAATAATCTTTCGCTCCACACAGTGAAAGGTCGTGTTTTTGTTTTGCTCTCCGAATTTTTATTTACTTGTTGAAACCACC